GGTGGGTTGGATATTTGGTAGCGGTGGGTATATGGGATGCCTGAGTGGCTGCCTGGCACTGCCAGACGTATGCTGTAGCACACCACTCAGGGTATATGCACTTCTGTCGAGGGATATCACATATAGTTTAAACCGTTTCCATTATGTTAATCACTATCCTTGTATTGTACCGCTGACAATTTAGGTTCACTATACTAGGATCGTTGTTTTATTTTTCACATGGCAGCTAGGCCTACGATAACTTTCCCCTACACTTCCATGGAAAAATTTATTTCATGCTTAGTAGAGGTAAAGGGAAAAACACGTCACACAGTAGTTTTATGCCTTTTCATCGACTGTATGCTCCCTTTATATATACTGTGATTCACTGCACCTCAATGCTACCATCACTCGTTTTATCTCTTATGACTATAGTAATTACTCATCTGTTATTTCCACTTCACTGGACCTCTGGCAATAGTTCGCTAGTGCCAGTTGCTTGTGAGATATTCCCATATGCTACACCATATATTTTACGCTATACTGGGGGATAATTAAGATTGCTCTTATCTACAATTTAGTTCACTATGTCACTGCACATAGTGAACTAAATTGTAGATAGTTCAATATTTGTTTATTTCCACTTGTGTCGACCGGCAATAATTCACTAGTGCTGATCAGGTCTATTTCCACAGTAACCGTTCCTCCACCGGCACTCTCCATGTGACACTGTAATCCATATTTTCCTATTTAGTGTTCACTGATATTCCTTTTTTGTTGGTTCAAAGGAGTATATGCACTTTATGGTTGCACACGCTTTTTTCCCGCATTCTGTTCCCTCTGTTACTATCAGAAAACGCAATTTTTGCCGGAACACAACCGTGCGTGACTGTCCCGTGTAAGCCCCTATAGTGTCCATAACATTTTGATGCTTGAGAGAGAGAGAGAGAGAGGATGAACAAGCGAGACTGGACCTCGTGTTCACCCTGAGTAGCTTGGACATTGAGGACATTACATATGAAAGACCTCTTACCTGGAGTATACCTGGAGAGGATTTCAGGGGTCAATGCCTCCCTGTCCCGGTTTGAGACTAGGCATCATTTTGGATCAGGGTCTGATCAACCAGGATGTTACTGCTTGCCGCACGCACACTGACGTACAAACTTCAGTCTAGTTGGTCAGGTACTGACTTCAGGTGCCTGTCCAGTGCCTTCTTGAAAACAGTCAGGGGTCTATTGGTAATCCCCATTATGTATGCTGGGAAGAAATTGAACAGTCTCGGGCCTCTGACACTTATGGTGTTGCCTCTCAGTGTACTCGTGGTGCACCTACTTTTGTTTTCATAGGGAGTGGTTTTCGTGTGCAAGTGTGGTACTAATCCCTCTAGGATTTTCCAAGTGTATATTATAATGTATCTTTCTCGCCTGCATTCCAGGGAATACAGCTCAAGGGACTTCAACCGTTCCCAGTAATTTATGTGCTTTATCATACTAATGTGTGCCATGAAAGTTCTTTGTGCCTTGAAGGGGGCAGTTAATGTACAGCAGTATTCCAACCTAGAGAAAGCAAGTGATCTGAAGAGAATCAGGCCACGGTACCCCGTGGCCTGATCGCTAAAGCTCTCCCTTCACACAGGGAGGTTCTGCATTCGATTCCCAGCGCAGGTAGAAACATTAGGTGTGTTTTTTTTGCACAATTTGTCTATGTTCACCCATCAGCAGAATGGGTACCCAGGAGTTAGTCGACTGGTGTGGGTCGCATTCTGGGACAAGGACCTAATTTGCAAGAAATACTCTGCATAACAGGTAGCTTTCTATATAGTTGTATGTCATTGATGTCAGCTAGACCTGTATACTTTGTACATATAATTGTGGTACATAAAGATAGTATTATTATTATATTATATTATCATGGGCTTGGCATACCTAGTTTTGAAGGTTCTCATTATCCATCCTATCATTTTTCTATCAGATGTGGTAGATACATTGTTGTGGTCTTTGAAGGTGAGATCCTCTGACATTATCACTCCCAGGCCCTTCACATTACTTTTCGCTCTATTGTATGGCTCTATTGTATTTGTTGTGTACCCTAATACAGTTTTAATTTCCTCAAGTTTTCCATGTCTGAATAATTGAAAATTTCTCTTCATTGAACTTCATATTGTTTTGAGTGGCTCATTTGAAGATTTGATTGATATCCGCTTGGAGTCTTGCAGAGCCTTCGATGGAGGTCACTGTCTTGGCAATTCGCTTGTCATCAGCAAAGGAAGACACGCAGCTGTGGTTTACATCTCTCTCTATGTCAGAATTGAGGATAAGGAATAAGATGGGAGACAGTGATCACGTGAATACATAGACTTACAAGTGGAAAGGGTAACAGGAGTAGGATGGGAAAAGCCAAACTACAAAAGGGAGGAGAACACAGGTATGAGGAACTTCCTGCAGGAGGTTCAGTGGGAAAGAGAATTGGTAGGAAAGTCAGTAAATGAAATGGACTAACAACAAAATGCAAGAAGACAGAGGTTTGTTCCCAAGGGCAACAAAAATAATGGGAAGAGCAGAACGAGCCCTTGGATTACCAGAAGGAGTAGGTAGCCAAAAATTAAGTGCACTAGAGAATGGGAAAAGTACAGAAGACAAAGGACCCAGGAAAATAAAGAGATTAATGGAAGAGCCAGAAACGAGTATGCAAAGATAAGGGAACCCCGGCGACCGTATGAAAACAACATAGCATCAAAAGTCCAGTCTGACCCGTTGTTGTTGTAGGGCCACATCAGGAGGAAGACAGCTGTCAAAGACCAGGTAATCAGGCTGAGGAAAGAGGGTGGGGAGCTCACAAGAAGCTACCAAGAAGTATGTGTGGAGCTCAACATAAAATTTAAAGAAGTATTTACAGTGGAGACAGAAAAGACTCCAGGAAACCAGAACAAGGGACTACACCGACAAGCGATATACCAACAAGTGCTGGATGAAATACACATAACCAAGGAGGAGGTGAAGAAGCTGCTAAGTGGCCTTGACACCTCAAAGGCGGTGGGACTGGACATTTCTCAGTGGGTCCTTAGAGAGGGAGCAGAGACATTGTATGTACCACTAGCAATTTCAACACATCCATTGAAACTGAGCAACTCTCTGTTGTAAGGAAGTCAGCAAATATAGTCCCCATGTTTAGAAAGGATACAGACAAGAGGCACTATACTATAGACCAGTGTCACTGACGTTTATAGTATGCAAAGTCATTGACAAGATAATGAGGAGAGTGGTGGAGCACCTAGAGTGGAACACGCTTATAAACACAGGCAAATCCTGTATCACAAACCTACTGGAGTTTTATGACAAAGTAAGGGCAGTAAGACACGAGAAAGAGGGGTGGGTAGATTGCATTTTCTTGCACTGAAAGAAGGTTTTCGACACAGTTCCTCGCAGGAAATTAGTACGAAACTAGAGGATCAGGCCCATATAACAGGAAGGGCACCGCAATGGATCAGAGAATATCTGAAAAGAAGGCAACAACGAGTCGCAATACGTGACGAGGTATCAGAATGGGGAATGGGTGCCTGTGACAAGAGGAGTTCCACTGGGGTCAGTTCTACAACCAGTGCTGTTTTTGGTATATGTGAATGACTTACGATGGGTATAGATTCAGAATTGTCCCTTTTTGCAGATGCTGTGAAGTTAATGAGGAGAATTAAATCAGATGAGGATAAGGCAGGGCTACAAATAGGCCTGGACATCCTGGAAATTTGGTTTAGGAACTGACTCCTCGAATTTATCATTACCAAATGCAAAGTAATGAAGATCTGGGGATGACAAAGAAGACCGCAGACAGTGTATAGGCTAGGTGGCCAAAGACTGCAAACTTCACTCAAATACATGAGTGAGAGAGGTTGGATTTGAGTGGGACTTGCACACGAGTAAATAGATTTATCAAAGATTGAGACACTTATGGGAATCTTTATTAAGGAAACGTTTCGCCACACAGTAGTTTCATCAGTCCAATACAAAACGGAAGGGTAAGGAGAAGAGGAGTTTTAGGTAGTGTATAGTTCCACTGTGATCCAGCCTCCTCCTGCTTCCACTCACTTGACTACAGTATCTAAGCCACTTCTCCAGCCATATGCTGTACTTTCTACAAGAGTGATGGACTGAACACATCGATTCCAGGCTGAGGGACTGATTACCTCAAACTCCTCCTCTTCTTACCCTTTCTGTCTTGTATTGGACTGAAGAAGCCACTGTGTAGCAGAACGTTTCCTTAATAAAGGTTCCCATATGTTACACAAGTGTCTCAATCTTCAACTTGTGAATTTTGAAAACCATTTATCATATTAGACACAATTAAAGTAGAACACCAGAGTGTAGCACCAGTGAGCATTTAGCAACGTAGGGTGTACAGTATACAATGTATATGATATACAAGAAAGGTACAAAATACCAACAAGATGAAAGTTAAGACACATGTGCAACATCTGGGTATCTTTATTGTAGACGTTTCGCCATCCAGTGGTTTTATCAATACAAATTCTAGGACATAATTTGAAGACAGAACTATATACAGAAGATGAGGTTCAGAGGACATGTAAGTTACCTTCATCACGTCTACTAAAATAACAACTACAACAACTACTACAATTAACCCATCCCTTTGGGTATGACCTACTTCCACTGGGGAATCCAGCCAGCTCCAAGGCTGGGGCACTGATTACCTCATCTTTTGCATACAGTTCTACTGTCTTCTAGTTATGTCCTAGAATCTGTATTGATAAAGTCACTGGATAGTGAAACGTTTACAATAAAGATTCCCTGATGTTGCCCATGTATCGTAACTTTCACAATGTATATGATACTGTATACCTAGAAAAGATATGTATACATATAGCGGTATGTATGTGTATATAGAACCAGCATATATAGTACCGCAATATTTGTAGCACTAAACATTAAGGCAAAGTATAAAGAAATTAATCATCTGTCATAAATATTTCTGTTGGGTAATGATCATGAGATTTTTTTTATTCACAG